GTGTCTTGGCTATGAGAAGGTGATAGTTAAGGAGGTGAGAGAGTTGGACAAGCCATACCATGAAAAGAACCTTATAAGCCATGCTAAGCATTTGTGTTTCCTTCTCAGGGCCTAGGCCCCCTCTGGACTACTTTCCTTCACTTTTATTCTTAGACAAGTCCCCCCCCCCGCCCCCCGACATATAACATTGTATTAGTTTTAGGTGTACAACATAATGATTTGATATATGTACATGTATATTGTGAAATGATTACTACAATAAGTTTAAATTAACATCCATCACCACACATAGTTACAATTTTTTTCTTATGAGAACTTTTAAGATATATTCTCTTAGCAACTTTCAAATATACAATACAATATTGTTAACTACACTGTATGTTAAATAAATATGCTGTATATCACCATGCTGTATATTACATCCTCAGGACTTATTTATCTTATAACTGGAAGTTTATACCTTTTAACCACCTTCACCCATTTCACCCACTCCCTACCCCCTGCTGCTGGCAGCCACCAATCTGTTCTCTGAATCTATGAGTTGTTTTTTTTTTCTTTTAAGATTTCACATATAAATGAGATCATACAGTATTTGTCTTTCTCTTTCTGACTTATTTCACTTAGTATAATGCCCTCAAGGTCCGTCCATGTTGACGCAAATGGCAGAATTTCTGTCTTTTTTTTATGGCTGAGTAATAGTCCATTGTGTGTGTGTGTGTGTGTGTGTGTGTGTGTGTGTGTATGTGAATGCCACATCTTCATAATCCATTCATCTGTTGATGGACACTTAGGTGGTTTCCATGTCTTGGCTCTTGTAAATAATGCTGCAGTGAACATGGGCTGCAGATAGCTTTTCAAGATAGGAATTTCATTTTCTTTGGATAAATACTCAGAAGTGGAATTGCTGGATCATATAGTAGTTCTATTTTTAATTTTTTGAGGAGCCTCCATACTGTTTTCCATAGTGTTTGCACTAATTTACGTTCCCACCAACAATGCACAAGGGTTCCCTTTTCTCCACATCTTGGTCCATACCTGTTATTTCTTGTCTTTTTGATAATAGCCATTCTAACAGGTGTGAGGTGATATCTCCTTGTGGTTTTGATTTGCATTTTCCTGATGATTAGTGATGTTGAGCACTTTTTCATGTATCTGTTGGCCATCTGTATGTTTCTCTGGAAAAATATCTATTCAAATTGTCTCTTTTTTTAATCACATTGCTTTTTTTTGTTGAGTTGTATGAGTTCTTTATATATTTTGGATATTAACCCCTTATCAGATAAATGATTTGCAAATATTTTATCCCATACCATAGGCTGTCTTTTCATTTTGTTGATTTGTTTCTTTTGATATATGGAAGATTTTTAGTTTGATGTAATCTACTTAATTAATTTTTGCTTTTGTTGCTTGTGCTTTGGTCTGATATCCAAGAAATTGTTGCCAAAACCAATGTCAAGAAGGTTTTCCCTGTATTTTCCTAGGAATTTTATGCTTTCAAATCTTTTGTTTAAGTCTTTAATCCATTTAGAGTTAATTTTTATGAGTGGTGTAAGATAGGGGTCCAGTTTCATTCTTCTGAATTTTGTTGTCTAGTTGTCCCAACACCATTTATTGAAGAGGCTTATCTTTTCCCCATTAAGTTTTCTTGCATCCCTTGTCAAATATTGACTGTATATGCAAGGGTTTATTTCTGGGCTCTTGACTCTGTTCCATTGGTCTATGTCTCTGTTTTTATGCCAGTACCATACCATTTTGATTACTATAGCTGTTGAAGTCAGGAAGTAGGATGTCTCCAGCTTTGTTGTTCTTTCTCAGAATTGCTTTGGCTGTTAAGGGTCTTTTGTGGTTCCATACAAATTTTAGGATTTTTTTTGTTTCTGTGAAAAATGTCACTGGAATTTTGGTAGAGATTGCATTGAATCCATAGATGGTTTTAGGTTGTATCAACATATTAACAGTATTAATTCTTCTGATCCATGAACACAGAATATCTTTCCATTTATTTGTGTCTACTTAGGTTTCTTTCATGAAAGTTTTATAGATTTCAATGTACAGATATTTCACCTCCTTGGTTAAATTTACTCCTAAGTATTTTATTGTTGTTGATGCTATTGTGAATGGGATTATTTTCTTTATTTCTTTTTCAGATATTTCATTTTGTGTGTATAGAAACACAACTGATTTCTGTATGTTGATTTTGTATCATGCAACTTTACTGAATTCTTTGCTAAGTTATAAGAGTTTTTTGGTGGAGTCTTTAGGATTTTCTATATCTAAGATCATTTCTTTTGCAAATGAAGACAGTTTTACTTCTTCCTTTCTAATTTAGATGCCTTTTATTTCTTTTTCTTGTCTAACCGTTCTGGCTAGGACTTCTAGTACTGTATTGAATAGAAGTGGTGGGCACCCTTGATTGTTCCTGATCTTAGAGGAAAAGCTTTCAACTTTTCACTATTGAGTATGATATTAACTGTGGGCTTGTCATATATGGCCTTTATTATGTTGAGGTATGTTTCTTCTATACCCAAGTTATTGAGACTTTTTCTCCTAAAAAGATGTATTTTGTCAAATACTTTTGTGCATCTATTGAGATGATCATATGATTTTTATCTTTCATTCTATTAATGTGGTGTACTACATTTATTGATTTGCATATGTTAAACCTTCCTTATATCCCAGGAATGAATTCTACTTGATCATGGTGTGTAATCCTTTTAATGTGCTGTTGAATTCAGTTGCCAATATTTTGTTGAGAATTTTTGCATCTATATTCATCAGGGATATTGGCCTATAATTTTTGTAGTGTCCTCATCTGGCTTCGGTATCAGGGTAATAGTGGTCTCATAAAATGAGTTTGGGATTGTTCCCTTCTCTTCAACTTTTGGACGAGTTTGAGAAGGAATGGTATTAATTCTTTAAATGTTTGATAGAATTCACCAGTAAAACCATCCTGTCCTCGCCTTTTCTTTGTTGGCACGTTTTTTACTGATTCAATCTTCTTACTCATTATCGGTCTGTTCAGATTTTCTCTTTCTTCATGATTCAGTTGGGTAGGGATATTTTATTCTGCCATGATGCTGACGTCACTTTCCCCTCATAATTTCTTATCTGGATACTGCAGTTGTCTTCTGACTTTCTCTGTGCCTCTTATACAACCCCATTTGATTCTTCAAGATACTGCTAGAATGATCTTTATAAAATACAAATATGATCATGCTACCCTCTGTCAAAGCAGCAGCCATACCTCGTTCTCTTTTTCCTCCTCTCCCTTTACCCTAGTTACAGCCCTCGTCCTCTCAGTGTGTCTGCACAGATGTTGAGAAATCTCATTCAGCAAACTGACTTGAAGGGAAAATATCACTTAGTTTTCTCAAAAATAAACTCTAATGGGAATTTCAGAATTGTAGAAAAGGAACTTTGGGGCATTAAGGCTTTGTCTCTTATATCATCAGCTTCGCCTAGTTTTATCTCTATAGATCTGGCAGAGCTATGAACTGAGGTTACAAGGCGTGGGCCATTGGTGTTAACCAGGTTGACTGTGAAGTGATGAGACTGGCTTCAGTCATGGATGGAGTTCTTTAGTCACAGATCCTGCAGACAGAGTATCTACTGTAAAATAAAACTCACAAAGTTAACTATACCACTGTGGTGGCATATTTGAATGTTACATATGCATAATTTCCTTCACAATAATTAGGCTTTAGTGGTATTTCACATTATTGCATATAATTAGACATTAATTTTCTCTTCAGAAGTTACTTTTCTAGCATCTATGTCAGCATCTTTACTTTCCCCTCATCTCATATATTTTAGAATACAAAAGTCCTGGATTCAGTTTTCCAAAGCTGAGATTCCTTTCCAATTTTCTACCTTCTTTCTTTTGTTTTCTAAGCCTGGACTCAGGCCAGAGGTCAAAAAGCGGCCAGCCAAGAAAACACACACACACACACACAAAGCAGCCAGCCGAAGGCCAAATCCAGTATATGAGTTTTATTTAGTCTACAGTTCCTAATAAAAATTTTAAATTAGTTTTCAATGTTTAAACATCAGGAAATTGCACATAAAATTCAGATTTCCAGTTTCTTTAAAAAGTTTATGGCAACACTAGGCTTTTTTTCATTCCAACATGGCAAATCCTTGGACATGAATGTGACGTGAACTCTCAGGTCAGCCACAAGCCATGCTAAGGACACTTCTAGCCTCACAGGCATTTGAGTCTTTGACCTTCGGGTCACTCATTTTCACTCATACAAACATATATTGTGCATCCAGTGTGCCTGGCACTGTTCTAGGACATATTTACATAAGTTCTCTTACTTCTCACAACACTGTCATTTTCATCGTGTAGATGCAGAAATGGAGGTTTAGAAAGTCAGACGGGAGCCACACAGCTGGCAAGTGGCAGAGCCAGATTTGACCCAGGTTATGTCTCAGGCTCTGTGGTCACCAGGTCCATCATCATCACCTACTTTAAAAGGCTCATCCTTTCATCACTTACATCAGTTTAAACCTGAGATTTTTGCTTACAGCATAACTTAATGACAAACCTAAAAATTGCCATGACATAGAAAGATGGCAATTTGCTTAAGTTTGTTAGTCACTGTTTTCTCCAGTGACTGCAGTATTTCATGCATTTTGTTTTGCAACAAGTGAATTACTGTGTCAGTTCACAGATGCATTCTTCGGCATTTCCATATGAACATGATACCCCAACATTTTTCTAGATTCTAACATGCAGATTTGGTCATTTTATAAAATTATTAGTATCATTTAAATAGAATCAAGGAACAATAGAAGTATTTTCTTAATTCCTCTGAAGCAAAAAGCTTTTCTCACAATATTTTCCTGAAATGACATAAGTATATCCTTTAGCAAAAATAACCAGTCTATTTAAAAGATGTACATTTTAAATCGAATTATATAGAAACTTTAAAACAAATGTAGAGACACAAAATTGCTTCTGAACTCACAGGTATTCAGTGATATTACCTATCTTGCAGGGTTGAATCATCTACCTTCTGATTAAGTTTGATCATGTGAGAAATGACCACTGAGCAGAATATGAAGGATGAAAGTGGAAAATAGCAACACACAGCCACAAGGTACAATCTCAGACTAAAACCGTGAGGTAGGCCAAGGGAGTTCCCTGGTGCGGCTTGAACTGCAGAATGATTGAAATTGCCTCATTTCCTCATGTGTTTCCACTGTGTTCCAAAGTATGCCTGACAAATAGTAGTTGCTGAATAAATCTTCATTCACCTTCCCAGCAGTTTAACATAAGAAGACAGTTTTTATGCTTTCTTTTATACCATATGATATAAAAAAAGTTGTGTGAAAAGAATCAAGTTTAATCTATGCTGTCTGGGAACAGTAGTTGGATTTATGTGAAAAAGTATATAACATGTCAAACTACCTAAGACAGATTGTAAAAGAGGTATGATTTTCACTTAAGATTAAAAACAAATAAAGAAGTTAATTTTTTTTTTGTTTCCTTTTTTAAAAAAGCCCTTACATGTTGATAGTGGGGGAAGCTATGCATATGTGGAGCCAGGAGGTATGTAGGAAATCTCTGATTCTTCCACTCAATTCTGCTGTGAACCTGAAACTAAGCTAAAAAATAAAGTATTTTATATGTATTATGTATTTATACATATTAAAGCCTTTAGGCAAGCTGGAACAAGGGCAGTCCAGCAGGGGCTGGGGCCATGCAGGGAACATAGCTGAGTGAGGTGGCAGCCTGACGGGGATCAGGAGATTGGTTACATGTCGGGGATGGGGGCTCTGGGGAGGACATGAGCAAATAGGTCAATATATTGAGATAAATGGGAGTTAGGTTTCTCACTGTCCAGGAAAGGAGTTATAAATATAGAAAGGGAAAGCTTGAATGAACCCTGGTGGTGGTAGATTGGAATTGGAAGATTGGTGTGAACTCATGGTTTATGTGTGTATGTGTATGTAAGTATGTATGTTTCATGTATGTGTGCAAAAACACCTGTATATACATATATATATATTCTACCTTTGCCTACTAAGAGGGCCTTGGAGCAGTGACACCCAGGAGCAGTAAGCATATGTAGCAAACAGTTTTTAAATACCAACCTCCATCAAAGAAATCAGGGCTCTTTGGAAAAATGGCTGCTCCCAGGGCTAAAGCAAAGCATACACAAGATGAGTCTGAAAGTATGGAAGTGTTCAAAGAATAATGGTGGCTTGTAAATGGACCGAGAAGCTACCTCTCAGAGGCTCCCAAAGGCTAAATCTGACAATTTGAGCAAATATGTAATGACAGTAATGGATTTTCTCTCACTGAATTGGAATCTACAAATCCTTTTTGAGATAAATGAATAATAAACAAGGAGAAGAGAAAGCTCTTCCTTATAGCAAAATGCCCATTAATAAAATACAAAAGGAATGCAGAAACTAGAAAATCACCATTTGGCAACCATCAGAGTAGTAATAATTCAGTCAAGAAAGCTAAGGGCAGAGAGCTAAAGCTGGATAAAGAACAAGGTATTTATGTAGTCTCAAAGTATCACCTTCACAAAATGCTTACTATAAAGATGGATATTAATTATAAAGGGAAAGAGTAACTCTACAGTGGCGAAGCCTACTCAGATGATCACAGTTAATATCACCAGCGATGGGACAAATTGACTTCATATATCTCCAGATATGACACACCGAAAAAAACACAGCATCACCTCTGTGATATTCCTGTCACAAATGCATACTCTGAATCAAATCATGAGGAAGCACCAAACTCAAATTGAGGCACTTCCAACACAACCACCTGTGATCTTAAAAACATTAAGGTCATGAAGGTCAAGGAAGAACTAAGCAATGGTTCTGGTTTGACTGAAGAAACATGACAGCTAAGAGCAACACGTGTTCTTGCTTTGGATCCTTTTGCTATAAAGGCAAAACCTGAGTGAGGCCACTGGGTGAAGGGTAGATGGGAGCTCTTTGTGGTGTTCTTAAAACTTTTTTGTAAGTGTGAAATTATTTCAAAATAAATAAAAGTAACAACCTTTGTTTAAAAACTTTTATTTACTATAAAGACAAAACACCAAAATAGGTACAAATACTATAAAATTGGTTCGATGGGGTAAAAATTTTAATTAAAATATCTCAATATATTTAAAATAACAAAGGATACATTTAAGCCAAATTTTCTTAACCCAGAGATTTTTTTTGTAACATTTGCTTATACAGTAAGGTGCTAATAGAAGTTAGCCCTTAAGCCCTGGAAGTCTTAGGAATCATAGTCACACAGCAAATACAATTTCATTGTGAAAGTGAACTTTGGTAGAAGAAAAATCTATAGGACACCTGAGGTAGTAGAAACTGGAATAAACAGCAGTAGACGTTATTTACAACTTGAGTACCAAATAACATTAAGAACACAAAAATAATTACACAATACAATTTTCAGTCCAGCTTTGATCCAAAGAAAATAAGAATATTACATCACATTTGCATTGAAAACAAAACAAAACAAAAAACAAAACACCACAATTACCAGCGAGCTGAGGGAACTGCAAACAAACTCAAACAATGGATTTTGACATCTAGAGGCAGTTTGAGTTTGAAATGTGGTGGCATGGGGATCTACAAGTAATACTGATTAGCTGAGGTTCCTCAGTGTATGCACTTTACATTTCTGCCAGACACGGGATTAATCTGACCAACGATCTTCCAGTACATAAAATGGCAAGAGTGCATCCTTTAAAGCTTGCACATCAGACGCTTGGAAACAATCTTATTAGAATTGTGAAAATTCTAAGTAGTCAAAAAAAGAAGAAAATAAAAAAGAAAGTCAAGTACAACACATTTAGAGCTACCAAACTTCACATTTCAGTACTATTTTTAACTCTTCAAATATTGCCAATCTTCCAAAACAAAGGAATGTAAAATTTCACTAAGAAACACATTCACATAAAAAAAAACTGCCTTTTAAAAATTATATGTAATATATCCCTGTAAACTTATCTTGTAACTTACTTTACTTCCAATTTGTGTTGTACATTTAAAATGTACTTTATATAGCTTATTTAGTTTATCCTGAGTCTTTGAGAATAACCAATTCTATTTCATTCTGCAACAATTCAACTGGCTTCTGAAGAGTTAAAACTTAACATCTCAGGAAGTTGTATTAAATACTTAATCAGTACTTGATTTAAAAGACTCACAAAGAAAGGATAAAAGAGCTGCCATTTTCCTTCAGAATTCCATGCATCTGAATTCAACTCAGACGAAAACCATTAGATAGTTGTTCAAAATCTAAAGAATTAGTGTGTAAATGAAATTCAATTTCACTTTTCTTTCTGAACACATTTTTGAAGTTCAAAGCAAATTTATTTTTTAAAAACACTATGATTCATTGATAGTTAGTTAATTTTTCTTTAATTACCTATCAGCCAGGCCTACTGTAAAGAGATGATGCATGGTAGAAGGAAAATAGCAGTTACATGTTATTATCAGTGGTGATGATGAATGATGGATTGTTACATACAGATAAGACTTAAATGGTGTGAAGTTTCCTACAAGAGAAACTGATACATTAAAAAAATTCAAATAAATTTCAAGGTAATCTTGATCTTGGTTGTGAGTGGCATCACAGAGAATAGTTGATTTTCATTTAATTTATGTTTAACCTGCACGAGAAGAGCAGTGACTGACTCAATGAAGGTAGTACTTTATTATATTCCAATTTTAAAAACAAACAAATCTGTATTTTTAAAAACTCTTGCAATAGCAAGATATTTAATAAACTCTAGTTCACACCTAGTTTTTTTTTTCTGGTTTGAGAAGATCACCTTTCCCTGAATGTTAAACAAAAATGAAGGTGAAATGAAAATATAGAACCATAATTTCCAAAAACGAAATGAATGGGCCAACAGTAAAATGCACAATGAACCACAACTGCCCAGGCATTTAAAAAAAAAAAAGGTCAACTGTGGGTCATACAGAAGTTATCAACTTTAAAAATTATACTTATTTACTGCTACTCATAGCATATTCTGACCTAAGAGGCAGATACTGATTTTTATAGCCAGTGACAAAAAACAAACGGAATTACAGAACCCCCTGCTTGTGACCACGATATGAAATGGAAGAAGAATTGAAACATTAAAATAGATCCTGAGCCCCTCAGCTGCTAATATTGCTGAAAAAGTGCTCCAAAAAAATTATGCTTCTGTTAATTAGTCATGCAAACTTCATTGCTTTCCTGTTCACCTAGGGCCAGTTCTTTGAAAGGCACAGTTTACAGTTTCTGCACAAATTGTGGACTTTTGCATACTAAGCTTAGGTACAGATCATGATTTGTCAATCACATACTTAGGTAAGGGTTCCCCACTGGTCACGTTCATAGCTGTTCAGTGGCATGAAAGCCAACAGATTATCAACGTGGTTCCCCACAAAAGTTTTTTTCTCTTATTGAGCATCCTGTCTCCATTATAGTTTATTTGTATATTGGCTACCATGTAGTACGGAAGACTGGATGCTTCAGTAGCTCTCTTGATGGAGGTCTGTCCTGAGGTTGAAGTTCTAAACAACGAAGAGCCACATCTCGTAAACCAGGAGATAAATGTGAAGGGATTGATGGAGCAGTAGTTGCACTAGCAATCTGTAGGAGAAAACAGCAGAGTGTTGACGCTTTCCACAATTGGAGCTCTTGGTATAGAAATACACGTGCATATATTTCACAGCCTCTATATGTATACATCCTGTACACAGAGGAATTGAAGCAGAAGTGGGTGAACTTTCTGCTAACAAGGAGACTATGGAAAAATCACCCACTGGATGGGAGGTTTCCCCTTAAGAATCCTTCAAATTTTAGCATTTTAGAAGTTGATCAAGTACATCCTGATCAGAGGGATCTACAATTTTCCTTACTGTCTCAAATGAACAAGTCTAAGGACAGCAAAATGATTAGACAGGTAAAGTATTCAGTCAAATGAATTCTGCTTTCCTCATGTTCACTCTCCACGATGGTTTTTCCTCTGTGCTTCACTGCACATTTTCTATTTTTCAGCACAGAGAGCTATTGAGTGTGAGAAAAACTAAACCTGGCCAGTCGATTTAGTACACTGGAAACACA